CCAAGTCTTAAATCCAAACTTGACGGTTTTACGATGCTACGATAATATGGTTTAGATACACTACTTAATGCTTCATCAACTCCAAAAATTGAAAATTCTGATCTTGTAAGTTGTCTCTCAAATTGAAATAATCTTAATGCTGTAACCGCCTGTACGTTCTGTTTCTCTACCGCGATATCAACTGGAATCTATATATATATACATAAAGTAAGTTATATATAATCTTAATAAATAAATTTCTTAAATTTAATATTGGTTACCTTTCCATTTCGATCTTTTAAATGGATATTGGCCTGTCTCTTCAAGAGCGTCAATAATAATCTTGCGTTGTCAGTAGCTGCTGCATGGTGTAACGCACTCCTCCCATCGTTATCAATTTCATTGATATCACAAGACCACAAAAGTAAAAATTCTATTGCAACATCATCACTTCTTAAAATTGCTTGATGTAATGCCGTAGTAGAATTTTCTTGCTCATTTTTCCAATCCACATCTGCTCCAAGAGATAAACTTTTTATTGCTTCAAAAAGGTCACAATTCGACATTGCTTCCCAGAAAATCTATATTATTAAGTGTAACTTAATACAATATATACATTATAAAAGTTAACTTGGTTAACAATTTAACTATAGGCTCACCGAATTGATTGTAACCGAATCTTCATTATCATTTTTAATAATAAATTCCTTTTGAACATATTTATCAATAATGAATTTCTCCCTATCAGCACTGAATAAAATCAAATTCAACAAGAAAAACAAAGTTAAAGTAAAAATTCTCCTAAATAGTTCAATAAACAAAAAAAAAAAGAAAAAAATTCCTAACCGTTCCCATGAAGAAGAATTAGCCAACCTTTCATCATCATCAACAAGTTTTGCCTCATAGATTTGATTGGCCTTGAGGTTCCCCAATTTGAGCATAACTTCAATTGATTCAGGTTCCCATTTATCTAGTTGTAATGATTTAACCTTACTCACATGCACTCCTAAACTCCGATGTATTCCAGAACATTCTATGCATAGTAAGGTACCAAAATTTGTACTAGCCCATTGTGGGTCTAAATATAATTACGCGTTAGAAAATCTCTATAACTTATAACGTGTAACAATTATTTATTAACTACCTTTAATTTTACAATCAACACAATTACCATTCCCTGGTAATTCTCTTATCTTTGAAATTGATTGTTTAGAAATTTGTGTTTCCTCATTATTCAATTGCTTATTTAAATTAAACTCATTATCCATATATTCCTGAGATGCCTCCTAAATAAATGATTTATTAAATATGATAACATTTAGATAAATACAATAAACATAAAACACACCTGTAAATTACTTTGACCGGAAGAAAGATTCGGTTTTTGATCAGCGTAGATTGCATTCTTTGCCGCCGCTTGTAAGCAATTTACCCAATCGTCCATTTCTTCTTGATTCTCAGCTTGTAAAACATAAGTTCTGAAAAATTAA